CCTTGGTTGAAGGAGTTGAGTTATGAAGTCTAGAACGGGCATTGATCTATGTTAAAATGTGAATCCTGTGAGGGTATTCAAAACTCGATGCCATATGGTTATCTAACTTGGGAGTTATTGGCATAAAGCTCGCTACATGGGTCATTTAGAAAGCTTAATGGAGAGAAGTCTTGCACACAACATGTCAATAAAAATAAAAATAAATAAATGTAGCAAGAAAAAGAAAAAGGGATTTAGACTATAAGCAATGAGAGGTACCCTATAAAGACTTCAAGATTTGAGGTCTGGATACTGATGGTGTGACTTTGAGAAATTCTTGCCATTTTCCTTCTAGAGATATAAGTACCTAATTATGATCACTTTGCGTGGAAAAATGCATTTTAATGATTATTAGAAGCCCACACGTACAAAAATGCATTGTGATTGGAGAGAAGAGCATAAGTAGTGATTTTACACGAGAGGTGTGAGAATTTTTTTTTTTGACAACCACAGGGATGGGATTACGATTAAATCAACAACACTAAATTGATTGTGTTCTAGTATGGGGGTGAGTTCAATATTGGCTAACCACACACACATTAAGTCAAGCATTAGATAAGTACAAGTGTTTTATTCTCTTTTGATGTTGTTTCGATCTATCTAGAGTGTTGTTTTAATTCGAACTTGAGGCATATGGCAAGCCTTTTAACGTGGAATTTGTTAAAATGGATTGTTTAGATTAATGATTTGGTTGAGCTCCTAAGTTTTGTGTGTGTTGTTTTATTCGAGGACGAACAAAGGCTTTAGTTTGGAGGTGTTTGATAAGTTCATTTTTGTGCACTTATTTGGAGTCAGTTTACTAAACTTTGTGTCATTTTATTATTGCATTTTACTTAACTTAGGTTATTTTTATGTTATTTCAGTTTGGGACTTGTTTCGAAGCAACTGGAAAAGAAAAAAGGATAAATGAGCTAATTGATGAAATTTTGGGACTAACATGCATTTGGGTAAAAGTTGAAGCACTACAATTAAAGTAATTTGATGAGGAGGACCAAGATGGAAGAAAATGATAGAAAAGAAAAGTGGCGAAAATCTAGCCTGGGCAACCGCCCATTTATTTTGCTTGGGCGGCCGCCTAACCTTCAAGGTGAACATTGCATGGGGATTCATGATCCTAGTACTCGTTTGTTATTCATAAGAAAAATCCAATTTGCATTCAATCACTCAATTGCATTTAATCTTAACCTAAATTTAACGTGTAAAGTAGTTATAGTTTAGTCATAAATCTCAACCAAACTGTTATAGATTCGGTTAAGGTTTCGGTAATTAGAATTAAACTATATCAATCCTTGTGGGAAGGATATTCGGAATTCTCAATTCCACTTTACTACTTGTTAACGAACTGTACACTTGCAGTGTTTTTAAAACGAACTATTATTTTCGTGAACACGTGCCATACTTATTCTTGATTTTGGGAAAAAAATGATTTATGTTGTCTTTTAGGGTGTGATAATGGGTGGGTTGTGTGAAAATAGTACAACAGCATTGCAAATGGATTGGCCTTCTCTTCAATACCCTCTTCTTCTTGAATACAATTTACAGAGGTAGGATCAGAGTTGGACAATTTATGCTCATTTTTGTTATTATTGATCAATCTACAGTTTATGTTCATTCATTCTCAGTTTTTATTAACTAATCTATGATTCGAGTGACAAAAAAAAGTTTTATGTAACACCACAGTTTTGCAGGGCTTATAATAGTTAGCTGCCAAAGGATGATATGCTTAATGTATTGCCTAGACCTTCCCACCATCTAAATCCAGCGAGTATTTTGTCCCTATTCGAACTCTTTGATTTGATTTTTACTTAATTAGTTTATTATTTTTGTAATCAATTTTATTGGATTGTTTCATTCTATGACGAATTCTTATTTTTTTCATCTCAAAAGTGAAGGTAATCGATGAATATAACCTAAAAACATATTAGTAGTGTCAAAGATGTGGTATACTGGTCAAATTTCAATTAATGTAGCAGCATAAACTATTTTTCAGTTCTTATTGAAGTGAAAATATGGTTAATATGTGTATTTACTTCTTGTTGGTATGATATACTTGACTATGATTGACCTAGGATACTCATTAGTGAAGGGTCGGCAATTCAAAATATCTTTTTGGAAGATTTCATTGCATTTCTTTGCACTATATATATATATATAAAATATTTTTTTTCATGGTTGCCCAATACTTTGATATATACTCAAATATGATCTCACTTTCAATGCCCCCATGCACCTTACATAAACGAATTAATCTAAGAATCATCTTTATAGAACTGCAAAATTTTAATTTTGTTTTCAGTTGAAAGACAGTCGTTTCATATATTAGCAATTCATTTATAAATACTTGATCACCTCAAAAGCTTAAAGAAATTATAAAGGAGAAATTTTATCTAACGACATGCCTCTCATTTACAACTATTCTTAAATGGTTTAAGAATGAGCATTGATTATTGTGGATAGCACTAAGACTTAATTGAAGGAGGGTGCTACAAGAGTGAATGAGATCGCTTATAGAAAAAGTTTAAAAGCTGAATGTTTTATTTGCTTATGTTTAAAATTGTTCTAACCTATAAGTCGATATGTTCACTTTATAACAAATAAGATGATCAACTTGAAGACTTTTTCTTTGACACATATCAAACAACGATGTTAGAGATGCTTGCTCAATCAATTTCTGAAGGAACCATTAATTGGTTTGAGTAAAAGTCATTAAAAGTGTCAGTTGTTAGAAATTCATCCGCCTAATGTACTTGATCTTTATGAAGAAGTTGAAATAGTCGTGGAATTCTATTACTATACACTAATTGTAAAGAGTCGTGTTTATATAAGGTATAATTCGTAAAATCTACAATCAATGACATTAACCAGAAGAGATCTCACGGATACATGGTCCCATTAAGTGAATTCTACTTTCTAGGTTTTCACAATTCTATATTCAATCAAATTTCCAAACAAGTAGCCTTTCACTATCACATTGGTAAAATGGTTTGTAATTAATATTTACTACATCCTTATAAAATCACCACCATCCTAGGTATTGAAATAGGGGTTAAAATTCATACTTTAATAGCCTGCTGCTCGCTTGTTTTTCCATTTTAAAACAAATATTATCTTGCATTACTGCCATGAGAACTGGTATGTTATCTTATTATTCTATTATGATTGCATACCATGTGTGCCTTTATCCCTGTATATTTATCTTGGATTGTTATTTGAACATTTAGCAGCACACATAAACTTACATGTGTGGATGTCTTTCTATACTCTATATCAATGGCGAGCCAAATGTCCGTTAAAGGAGAATATTTAACCAAACAAGATTTCTCGACTTTGTAACTAGGGAGGCTTCGTATTTGTCATATGTGGAAATGGCTTTTCTAGGTGGTAAAAGCAGTCAAGTTGCTCCCAAAGAAAAATCAAAGCATTTCCACTGTCTTGTAAGCTAATCTGAACAAATGTTGAAATTAAGCATTACATACCGCACACATAAAACTGTGTTTATTTGTTGACATTTTGATTTGTCTATCACATGACATGTACATTTATAATGCCTCATTTACCATGTATGACAATGTTCAAGCTGACATGGATGATCCCAGTTGCTCGATTGGAACATGCTTCACGTGTATTCACAAAGCGATTAATATTTTTTGTTTATTGATGATTTTATTAGATGCTTTTTACATGTCTCTCGTTATTGGGACCTTATTATGGACATGTCTGGTAAATGCCCATGGCTGATCTCTAACCTTCAATTTTTATTTTTATTTTTTTCAAATAGGAAATCGTAAACCCACAGATTTTTGGGAGTGCACGCAACCATCACCTCATCTATTTTCACGCGCTACTTCAACAACTTCCCCCCAGTCTACGCTCCATCCATTTACCGTTTGTTGTTCTTAGACACTCGACTTCTCCCTCCCGTGTAAACTCAAACTCCAGATTCATGATAGTTATCTCTTGTTCTCAATTTATCTCTCTCTCTCTCTCTCTCTCTCGACTTCATTCCCTTTTTAAGTTAAGCTTTTTAAAAACTTTTGGAGTTTTACTGGAATGCCAATTCTCATCAAATGTGTGTTGTACTATGTAATTTAAGATGTTATTTTGGCTTGTGAATTCTTGTGTTTAATTTGCTGTTTCAGATTTTGGCCAACAACTCTCCAAAGTCGTATTCGTCTTTTTCGAGGTTGGTCATTGTTCGATTTCACACACATTTTATGCTGATTAATTTTTTGTTTTGCATTTAATATTTCATTTGTTGATTTTTTTTCCCCTCAAAATGATAGTTTCTTGATAAATGAAAAATGATGTATCTTAAATTAGATCTGCTAATTAATTTTCAGTCGATTGCTTTCTATTTTTTATTTTTAGGTGGGTTGGGTTGTGGTGGTGGCGAGAGAAGGAAAGAGGAATTAAAAACTAAAACCTTGATTTCATAAATTATGACAAATGATGTTTAGATTTCCAGTATGTTCATGTAGTTTATTGAATGTGGTCTCATTTGTGTTTGTCAGAAAGATAGGAAAAGAGGAATAAATTTAAATGAATACCATATGTTCTTATCAAAAATTAAAACTATATAAAAAAAAAAATAGATGTAAAGTAAGTTTGAACCAACTTACAAGTATCTTTCACGTCTACGAATAAATTTTTCCCAAATTTAAATATACTTATTTTTAACGTTGAATAATAATTATAGAAAAAACCCCTTCGTTTTTATAGTTCTTTCTCTCCCCTATATCTAAAACCCAAACTTTCCTCCTTCCTGGCGGCTAGATACCTCACAAACCCCTTCTCCAAGCCAAATGTTACTACTTCTATTACTTAGCTAGTTTACTTTCCAGTCTTCAGAGAGTTATTGCTTTATTTATAAATCCCTCTCGTACATATATAGGTTAAGTATATAACAAGGCGTGTACATAGATACAAGAAACCAGTTTTATCAAGATAGTTGATAATTGGCCATGGCATCAGTCCCTTCGCCGTCAGATAGTATTCTCTCTTCCTCTACTTCTCTGGGTAGGCTTAATTTTTTGGCTGTTTCTTCTTATTCTTTCGAATTATTCTGTATTTCTATTCTGAAATATTTGTTATGTTTCTCGTCAAGAGCTTATTGAATTGGATATATGCTTGTCTGCTAAGTATTGATTAATTGTCAAGTTTCATCTTGTTATTTAATATTTATTAGCACCAATTGAAGAACATTAGCTGGGAATCAATAACCCAAGCTGTAATTCTATTAATTGAAATGAAATCACAGTTCATCAGTGAGATACAAAGAGAAAGTAAGAAGAGGAATAAGAAAAGAGGAGAGAAAGAGAGAAGACAGAGAAATTTGAGAGGGAAATTCACACTGAATCAACTCACGACATTCCTCTCTTTCCCCATCTCGTTATAACATAAATAAATCGCATTATTCATTCTTGCAAAATAAAAAACGTGTTCCCAATTACAATTGAAATTCTTGGCTCAAAACGACACCGTTCCCTTTTAATCCAAAACGGCGTCGTCTTGGTTTTGGTTTGAATTTGGCGGCGGTAGCTCTTCTTCCTGGCAGCAACTTGGTTCCTTCTTCCTGGTATTCCTCTTGCCTTTGGTTCCCCACTTCAGCTGGTTTGCGCCTCCACTATAACATCCCTCCCTTTAGCTTCAACTTGTCCCCAAGGTTGAAAGGATGGAAAGGAGGCCTGTATATTCTCCGCATCTGCCTAGGTTACCTCATCTGGATTGGAGCCTTTCCATTAGACTAACCATTGTGTTACGGCTACCATTTTTCGATTAACCAATCGCGTAGATAACACCCGTAGTGGCTGAGTATGTTCTCCATAACTCGGTTCTGAATTGGAAGTGTTTGAACAGGAACTTCTCTCTCCCCAATCTTCTTCTTGAGTAAGGAGACGTGGAAAACGGGGTGTATTTGGGTAGTAGCAGACAGCTCCAGTCTACAGTTTGTAAGCTACTGATCCAATTTTCCAAATTATCTGATATGGGCCATAATACCTTGCAGATAGCTTGTTGTTAGATCTTTTAGCCACTGTTTGTTGAGCATATGGATGTAACTTCAGATAAATCCAATTGCCCACTTGAAATTCTCTTTCACTTCTGTTTCGATCAGCATAATGTTTCATTCTAGCTCTAGCTTGAACCAAATTCTCCCTTAGTAATTGGTCTATTCTGTGTCTTTTTTGAAGAATCTCGTCCACTGCTGCGATGTTGTTCTACTGATATGGGCCCAAAGCCAACGGGGAGGTTTAAGACCATATAATGCCTCGAATGGGGTCATTTTGATGGCTGTGTGTAGGGTGGTATTATACCACCATTCTGCCAAACTTATCCAGTTACTCCATTGCTTAGGCTGCTTTTAGGCCATACATCGAAGGTACATTTCTAAACACTGATTTAGCCTCTCTGTTTGCCCATTAGTTTGGGGATGATACGCTATACTCAACTGCAGTTTGACCCCCCAATTGCTTGAATAGACTTTGCCAAAAGTCACTGGTAAACACCCTATCTCTATCAGTTAATCGCATTATTCATTCTTGCAAAGTAAAAAACGTGTTCCCAATTACAATTGAAGTTCTTGGCTCAAAACGACACCGTTCCCTTTTAATCCAAAACGGCGTCGTCTTGGTTTTGGTTTGAATTTGGTGGCAGTAGCTCTTCTTCCTGGCAGCAACTTGGTTCCTTCTTCCTAGTGTTCCTCTTGCCTTTGGTTCCCCACTTCAGCTGGTTAGCTCCTCCACTATAACAAATATGTTATTTTGGAATCTGGGACTATAAAATTTGGGTTTTGGTTCATATATTGTTTGGGGATGTTCTGATTTTCATATTTTTCATGCCATGTTTGATTTTGTGAAGGTAAATATATATTGTTTTTGACCGATTGTGTGATTTTTCAATGTTTTTGTGTTGTACGATCATATATAAAGAACGAAATTCATAGCACAAAGTGAACAAATTAGGGATTCCTTACATGGTTTTATTTCCTTAACTTTTAACCGTTCCAGAAGTAGCAGACGTGCTGCATAAATTGTCCTTGGATAATCAGAACAAGTCACTTCAAGTTCCTGACACTAGAAAGAAGGTATTGGTTTAAAAATCTCTTGTTGGTTGGTTTTAGAACACTATTATCTATTAGTAATTTGTGAAGCTTTGTTCAAATTTTTTGCTGAATCATGCTGATATAATAGTGTTTCTTTGAAATAGACACCTGCTGTTCAGTATTCGCCTGTTGAGTTTAGGACTTCAGCAATTGGGTTGAACAGGCCATATGAGAGATCTACAACTTCTTTTCATCAGGATTTCATGGATCCAAGCATGGTCTACAATCCCAGTGGTTATCCTTCATCTACGTACTATTATGGAGGTAGCAATTATTTTTGACAAGCTTTGTTGTTTTACATTATGCATACCCTAGTTGGCATGATATTAAAAGGGTGTTTGGCACCCATTATTTTTTTAAAATTTTTTCTCTTTCTTAATTATTACCACACATTCTCCAAGTAAAATAATATTACACACAAATCTAAAATTTTTCATTACTTTTCAACCACACATTCTTCCATCAATCACTATTCCAAAATTTATAATTTCCCAAAAATGGGTGCCAAACACGTGCTAAACTTCTTATATGGGTCTCATGCAGCCTATGATGGATCCATGAATGACTGGGAGAGATTTTCAACTCCGAATGGAGCCGAACGGGTTTCAGTAAGTTTTTCATTCTAAAATTATATCATCTTATTTCTATCGATTTACGTTTTCAGTTAGAATAGATTTTAGATGCAGTCTGGAGATCTTTTGTGTATAGGTTGAAGTGAGGAAAGAATGATGAAGAGGGAGGATATATTAGGATAAAGTTTGTTTAATTACAAATGTGTAGTTACTTTGTTACATTAGCAATCCAACTAAAAAAGGAAAGACAGAGAGCACTGTTTCGGCATCGGATATAATTAGTTTTCTATGATGTAGATTAAAATTATTTCACAGTCATTGCTATCCATTGTTGTAATCAGCATTGCAGATTAATAGATCAAATGCAATCACCAAGCATTTTGAAGAAGGTTTCTGATTTTGATGATATCGTATAGGGAATTTATGGGGAGTATCATGGTTATACTTATGCACCATATGGTGCATATTCCCCTACAGCTTCATCCATGAGGCATGATGGTCAGCTGTATGGGCCACAGCAGTACCAGTATCCGACCTCTTATTTCCAACCTTCTACTCAGACCAGTGGGTCTTACACGCCCAACCAGATCAATGCTTCCCTACTCATTGTCGCTGAGAAGCTGCAATCACAAGCAGAAATAGCTAATGGAAATATGCCTTCTGTAGGAAATTTTACTGCCAATAGAAGCAACTTGTCAAAGCCCCTAAGACACTATAACCAGAACTCAACTATAAAGTACAATGATTCCTATGGATGGGGACGATTGCCATCAGGTAATTCTTTGATTTTAGGCAAGTAAATTTCGCCTGTCATGCAGATGGACTATTTAAAAACAATTAATCTCTGATTCAATCCTAATCCTGCAGCAACTTCAGGGATCTCCTCAGCAGTTTCACACGGCTACAATTTTTCTACTGGAAGGAATCACAACCATCTAGTGGTATGCTTTATCTAAGTTATTCATCTGTCTCCAGAATGAATTTTTAAGAATCCATTTATATGTCCCTTAACTACCTCCCAAATCCCCAAATAAGTAAAAACGGCTGCCACCTCCAAAACATAAATGAAAAAAGGGATGAAAGTAGGAAAAATAATTCAATTTTCTGTGGCTGAAAAATGTATTCCTCTTTTCATGTATGTCATTGTCTACTTTACAACTATTTGTATGCTTTGTTAGACATTTTGTTACCAATGGCTGCAATCTGCTGTTGGTAAGATTTGGGTTTGTTCACTTTACAGGGCCTGCAACCCCCTAGAGGAACTTCTGGATTGGGCGCAGCTGGATTTTCGAATCAAGTGTATCCTAATAACAGGATTTATGGTCAGTATGCAAGCAGTGGCAGCAGATTTGCACCCAACCATTATTATCCTATGACCAACAGCCATGGGTGGTTAGCTGTTGATAACAAGTACAGGTCCAAGGGTCATGGTAGTAGTTTATATGGAAACAGTAATGAAAGCATGGATGGTTTTAATGAATTGAATAGAGGACCTCGAGCAAAGGGCTTGAATGATCTGAAGGATGCTGAACCTATCACATTGCCAGTGAAGGGACAGAGCCTTCTGTTGAAGGGTAACGACAAAGGCAATTTGCCTCTCTCTCCAGACAGACAACCATACAACAAAGAGGATTTCCCTGAAACATATGCAGATGCTAAGTTTTTCATCATCAAATCTTACAGTGAGGATGATGTGCATAAAAGTATTAAATATGGTGTCTGGGCAAGCACACCCAATGGTAACAAAAAACTAGATGCTGCATACAAGGAATCTCATGAGAAATCTGGTGGATGCCCTGTGTTTCTGTTATTCTCTGTAAGTATCTGCTTGTTTCCTTTTGGCTTCCTTCTACAACTAGGGACAAAAACTCTTGGTTTGACACCTTTTTGAGAGAATTACTTTATGCCCATCCTGTGTCATATCACAGGTCAATGCCAGTGGACAGTTTGTTGGTCTTGCAGAAATGGTTGGTCCAGTTGATTTTGACAATAGTGTGGAGTATTGGCAACAGGATAAGTGGAGTGGCTGCTTCCCAGTGAAGTGGCATATTGTCAAAGATGTGCCTAATAGTTTGCTTAGGCACATCACACTTGAAAACAACGAGAATAAACCTGTGACAAACAGCAGGGATATTCAGGAGGTGTACCATTTATTATATGATATTTACCATCTTCTTAGTTTTGTTGCTCCTGTCTTCTAACTTGGCTCTTGCTGCAGGTTGGACTTGATCAAGGTATTCAACTAATTAAGATTTTTAAAGGCCACTCTAGCAAGACGTGCATTCTGGATGATTTTGAATTCTATGAAGGGCGTCAAAAGACTATGGTAGAGAAGAAAGCTAAGCAATGGAAGTTGCAGGCAAGTTAGTGATTTTAAAGTTGTAATGTATATTTAGTTTTTCAACGAATTATTTGGTGCACAGTCTGCTTTTTTTATGTTTTATTTTTTTGGTGATATTTGGATATTGGTAGTGATTTATATGAGCTTATCAATCTCGTATAACTTTTTTTACCCTAGAACAGGTTGCAAATGTGGAGATAACTGAGTCTGCCTCAACTGAAGATGTTGATAAAAATGGGCATGCGGGAAAACTGAGGGATAACAAGCTTGTCCCTGCCACCTCGAATTCCGAAGCTGCAGCATGTGAAATGATCAAGACTAATGGAGAGCACAAGGTCTTATAAGAGAATGGATCTGTTGCAACAGCTGAAGATTCCTGTGTTCAAAGCCAGTGGTGAAAGAGAATGACACATTTTCAAATGGTTGCTAATGCACTAAGATTAGGATGCTCTTATAGATAATGAATTTCCTGGATTTAAACAATGCTTTTTCATTGGTAAAATTAGTGTAAACAAGCTACTGTTATTCTAATGTTTCTGCAGCCTATCTCTTCAGATGGGCAATAATGGTGGATTTGTGGCAGCGCGCATGTTCTAACATGGATAAAGGACCTCATAATGGCATTGCATGCGGTATTTCTGCTGAAAGTAAAAATAGCTGCCTTCTGTTGCCTGACACTATTTTTTGATCCTTAGCAAGTAATTTTAATTTGGACATCGTCACACTGGGATGAGCTTAAATGGATTTATTTATGCTATATGTTCAACTAAAGGGTTATGGCTTCTCTAAAATTGTGCAGTTCTGTAATATTGGATTAATATGATTCGCATATAAATTTTAATTTAATGAATGGTAGATAGTTGCATTGGGAGGAATGCTAGTGATATTGGATTAATGATTCTTGTCAATCTTTTCTTCTTATTTTCACGAGGACTACATCTTTGGGTTCTGCTACAGATCATGGCTTCTTGTTGAGATCACGTGACTAACTTGGAGGTCATTTTGTTCACATTCTCAACTATTTCTCCCTTTTGACTTCTAATTAGCTCGTGGGCCTTTCCAAATAGAAGTCGAGCTTTCCTAATTGTGTTCTTTGGTTAAGTTGTTCTCGACATAAGATTTCTTAGTTCCTTAAGGATTTTTTCATATTATTTTTGTGGTTAATGCTTCGGATAGCATTGTTTTCTGACTCGAGCTGACTTGCTGGGCTCGCTATTGGTTTGGAATTACCTGCTAGTAGCAAGCTTCGAAGTTTCTTTGGTCACCACATTTGCATTGTGCACTTGGTGATGCTTGGGTAATCCATGGTATCTTCACCTTCATTCTCAATCCGGCCATTGCTTGGTGTCGTATGAGCAATGTTATCTTCCTTGATTTCAGTATGAAATGAAGTTATAACAAAGAAACACGAGTTGGAACAACTTGATTGATTTCTCCCGATAAATGGTTGGGTTTCATTGCTAAAGCTACAACAGGTGGTAAGAATGGAGTTCTCGATAATCAAGTTAGTAAGCACGGCAAAGAGTGTTTAATTAAGGAAAAATGTTGTTTTTAGTGTATTCCTTAGAATTTTATGCAATCTAATGTTTGAATGGTTCGACTTCCTTAAATTCTGGAGCTTGTGAGTTCCATTTTGGAATTATGAAATCTCTTGTACATAAGGTTAATTTTCATATACGTGTGATAATGTTGGTTTTATAAATTCAATTGTTTTTTCTTGGAAGTCGTATGGACATATCTATCACCACTTAAAAGTGAACTTACATCAACTCCTCCTTAATTGAGAATTTGAGAGTAAAAGTTACTAACATTTAATCAAGGTTGGCCAAAAGCTTTCGAGCACAAATTATCAACTGAGCGTCTGTGGCTAAAAGTTACTTCATCACTGTAATCCTACAAACATAAATTATATCGAATTAAGCCATATTTCAACATAAATATCGACAATTTTCCATGTTTTGTGGTCTAAATAAATGCGCAAAACGCATTTATCAAATCCCCCAAACTTGAACTATTTTTGTTCTCAAACAAGATGTGGCTTAGAGCTTGTTTGGTAGGGATTTTTGGGAAAATAATTAATTGTTGAATAGTGATATGATGGGAAATGTGTGGTTGAAAAAGAAGAAAAAAGTATTGATGTGATGAAAAATATTATTTTATTGAAAAATGTGTGATTGAAAATAAGAATTGATTTACGGTAGAAATAGTGATATGATGGGAAATGTGTGGTTGAAAAAAAAGAAAAAATTATTGATGTGATGGAAAATATTATTTTATTGAAGAATGTGTGGTTGAAAATGAGAATTGATTTAAGAATCAATTCTCAAATAAAAAACAAACACCCCCTTAATCTACACAAAATATAGCTTAACACTCTGACGTGTCTCAGGATTGGAGCTTAGTAAGAGACCACATGAACAACTATAGCCATGCAAAATCGCATCAATCTCCCCGTGTTATATGCAAAACTCGATGTGTGTGTGTGTGTGTGTGAAAACTCATACCAGCATATCAGGATAATGACTGACTTATACCCGACCCAACGTAGTCAAATTTTTCGCTCTCATTGCTCGAAAGATACACATTGCCCCAAACTTATTCTTTTCACTCAATTATCTTGGGGTGTGTTCTAAAACTGAACTCATTTATATCTATTCCCTTCCCTCTCTCAGTTCGGATGAACCATACTATCACAATTTCACACTTTAATAATCAGAGGTTCTCCTATTTTTGATTTCTTCAACTCTTGAGATTGAACTGAGCTAGTTGCCTCGCATTGAAGATATAGTCTTATCAACTGAGTGTCTGTGGCTAATCAATGCATTTCATATACAAGAGTACGTATGTAATTCATCAATAGATAGATACCATTTTTTTTTCTTTTCTTTTATATAACATCTTTCCTTTGCTTTCTATATAACCCTTATAGCGAGCTTTAAACCGATAACTCCCAAGTCAGATGACCATAGGGAGCCATGTTTTAAACCCTTGCAGACTTAATCACTCGAGTTATACAAACTCGAACATATGTCTTTGTTTATTCAATGATTAGCATAATGCCCCTTTTCTTTTAGGCACACAGTTTCTAACACTACACTCTAACTTGAAACTTTCTCTTCGTTTTCATCTAATTGGCTTTAGAAAATCCACACATAACATCATGCACGGAAGTCCTACTCATCTCAGTGTTTCTTTGCAATAGATCAATTACCTCCAAACTATTCAAAAAATTGGTCATGGTTTAACACAAGAAAGGTTTTTCGGGATTTTCTACGTTCTCATATTCCTAAGTAACGAGTCAACTCGTTAGCCCAATATGCAAACATGAGTGTCGTGCGCAAAGTAAATAAAGTTTCACATAAACATGTATTGATCAATCTAATAAAACACAATTTTCACCATTCACGGTCCATACACAACCCAATATCAAATATCACGGTCCAAACTATTACTAAGAATGCATAAAATTAAGAATAACTCAGCAAAACGAAAAACTAATTTTTTTACACAATCACACAAAAACAAAAATTGCAGTAACATGATGAATGACATATTGACATATTCCCACCCCCAAAAGTATACAAAACATTGTACTCAATGTTTAAAGAATAATAAAATGCAAACTTAATAGCGCATAAAATTATGGACACATTCACAGAAGATAAAGAACAAATGGTGATGAATACTCCCCTGATCGATGGGGATGCGAAGGTGAAAACGGTGGATGAAAAAGAAGTGTGAATCATGCATAAGCTCTTTTATTACCTGTAGAGACGATGAAAAAGTAATTTTTTTAAAAAAATTATAAAAAAACTTGAAGAAGAAATTACAAATCGAATGCATAAGGCAAAATGAATAAAATTGTAGAAACAATGGTTGCCTCCCATCCAACGCTAGTTTATAGTCTATAGCTCGACTATACCATGTTTGTCTGTTAAGGTACGTTAAATATAGCCTGGGAGGTCCTGATTAGCTTCTTCAATGACATTTTCTTTTTTAATGCATCGTTCCTCCAAACTTTAGCCTTATCTTTATCCGTGTCATCTGCTTTTCCCTTATCAACTGCTTTGAACTCAACAATCTAGACTTCTTGTTTCTCATGATTTTGTTTGGGTTGAAAATGTACATTATGGTCATCAGCAGTATTTGAAAAGTTTTGAAACACAATTTTATCCTACACCACCTCCTCTACCATATCAATTTGATAGCAACTATCTGACTTGACATGATAGTACATAGCATTGAAAACGTTGAAAGTGATCCGTTCCTCGCCAAATCTCAAATTTAACTCCCCTTTTGGAACATCTATTAGAGCTCTGCTCGTAGTTAGGAATGGTCTGCCCAAGATAAGTGGAATATTCTTATCTTCCTCCACATCTAGAATGAGGAAATCGGCTGAGAAAATGAATTTGTCCACCTTGATTAGCACGTCTTCAATTATCCCTCTCGGATGTGCCAATGATCAATCAGCTAATTGTGGTGTCGAACTTAGAGTTCTCTTTGGGCTCAGTTCTTACAACAGATAAGGCCAGACTAGGCTTCAAGAGACTACAGGATGTGGTGGACACTTTCTCTATGAATTTTTGGTGGTTGTTTCGAACTTAGAGTTTTCTTTAGGCTCAATTCGTATTGGGCAAATATTGTATGGAGACTCATCCATTACTTGCAGCGATTCTTTACTCGGCCTACCCTACCTGGAAGAGGCTGAAGAGAATTACGCCATACACTAAGCCACACATTTACATCTTGGCGGGGGACATATGTTCTTCTAGCACATTCTTGGATTGGTGATACTACCCTGGTGTCTTTTTTTTCACACAGGCAACATACATCTGAGAGTGTGCAGGATTACTTTAAGGGCACTAGGTGGGACTTTGGACGATTATTACAGGCGCTTCCACCCCTAATGGCGGAGCAAATAGGGGTTATACCTTTATGTACAAATGCCCCGAATCGCATTATTTAGGGGGTTACATCGAATGGTACCAATTTTGCATAGCAACTAGGCCGTTCAATTCGTCGATCTCCTTCGAATAGTGGAGCTCCATTTTACCTACCACCATTTCATTCTTCTACTGGAGACTTTGGCATGATCTCATTCTAGTAGATATCGTTATTTAGAGGAGGATTGGGTGTCAGTTGACTTCTCGTTGTCTGTGTTGCTCCAAGATTGAGACCCCCAGTCAAATTTTCACGAGCACCACCATGTCTGATTTTGGATGTTGAGCTCAAAGCTATACTGGATGGGATTATATCGGCCAGAGGACTTGGGATATCAGCTATTTGGGTTAAGTCAAATTCCATCATAGCTATTTACTAGGGGCGAAGGAACATCGACAATTCA